CCCTCAGTTTCCCATTCCTGCCTGACCCAATAGCTACGCTTGTTGTTGGTTCAGCTGCAATCAGTATTCATTCAAATGTGTAATACAGAGGTCAAATAATGTATAGTAGTTAGTAAAGCATGGCCTAGTTCAAATTCTCTCTCCCTCCTCTCTCTGTTTCATTTACCTTCTCATATATTTACTTGTCTATTGATAGATCAATAATGAGTGGTTGAAACTAAATGTAGGCCCTCACGTATATCTTAAGCGTAAAGACAAAGACATATTCTAGAGGGAGTGATGTGAAGCGGGGGGGGGGGAGCCCTAAATCAAGCATGGGAGAGATGAAATACAGGCTCGTCAACACAGCTGCTCAACAGAGACACAAGGGACGTAGCTAAGTGTGGAGGAAGGCGGTATTGTTACAGGGCTGAAAAGACCATTAAGATATGGCCAAGTCAGCTCTTCATTTACTGGCTTCCGTCCACATGGCTGGCCAGTATCACAGAGCCCTTCCTTGGGGCTGCTCTGCCGGTTCCATTAACTTTGTTTCTGGTCCTCAAGCCAGGCCTGGGATTTCCTTTCTGGAGTCTGAAGCCATGGTCTTCCTTCCACCTAAACAGCCCATCTTCCTCTCACCACATCAAGGGAGCCTCTCTAGGTTCAAAAAGGAGCCCAGCCCCCACTGTTCTCCCAGCCCCCTGTGTTCTTGAGGAACCTCTCAAAATTGAAATTAAATAAGCAATGCAAAATCAGTGCGGTTTTTCCTTCCTTGTGGTGGACCAATAAGGAGTTGGTCCACCCCTTATTGCATGCTTTGGTCATTAATGGTTTACTTATACCCCAGAGAAATAGCTTGATGCAGTAGATATTAATTAAGTAAGTAATTGAATAGTTTTCAGTACTATCTTATGTTGCCCAGGCAGGCCTTAAATTCTCAGTGTAGCTAAGGGTGACCTCTTGAACTCTTGAACTTTCTGCTTCCACTGTCCAAGTACTGGAACTGCAAGTATGTGCCATCATGTCTGGCTTAGTAAGTAAGAGAAGTTCTTGCCACATAGCCCGAATTGCCCTCAGACTTTCGATTGCCTTGCCTCTACCTTCCAAGTACTAGGATTAAAGGTGTGCACTACCGTTCTTGGTTCTCAATGAATAATGGATTAACAAAGTTGACATTTAGCATACCTTCTTCTCCTGTTTTCTCCCACCCTAGCTCTCCTTCATTTCAATGCCTGCACAGTCTTGCCAAGGCTTCCTGCAGTCTGGAAGGACCACTCTTATGAGTCTATCACCTTTTCCTCTCTCTGTACATTTTATTTTGGGGAAATAGGGAGGTGTTACAAATAGTTCCTGGGAGCCATCATTTGGACCTTAGCTGAATGAGGTTGCTATTCAAAGTGTGACTTCCAGACAGCTACATCAGCACCACCCAGGAATTTTGTCTAAAGTTGCAGCTTAAGGTCCGTGCCACCTCAGAGCCTACATTTCGACAGGACCCCTATGGTGATGAGCCACAGAAACACTGCTGCGAAGGCATGTGTGTCCTACAGCCACCAAAGTAGAATGGAGAATCCACTGCAGTCCTGGGATGTGTCAAGGCAGGGAGGTGGAGTCAGGACTGATGATAAGAGGAATGACAGGAAGCCAGTCTTGAGACCGCAATGCTTGGGTGTGAAGGGGGAGGGGAGAAGATGAATAGTTGGGCAGGGAGAGTCAGACGGTGATGTTGGTCTTGAGATGTCTTGGCCAATTCCTTGGTGATCCAGGGCAATATATGTATTAGTGGGATTGTAGCTTCAGGAACAGAGACAGGATCTTCGCGATCCTGCTGTGCAAAGGGCTGCCCAGGAAGAAAGTGGCCTTTATAGGGAAAGTCAAGGCAGAGGTAGAGTAGCACCTCTACTGATAGGAATGAATAATAACTGTCTCAGCTTTGGCCTAAGGATATTTCTTGGACAATCTGACCATTAAGAGTTAACAATACACTGCTCGGGACATGGCTGTATGCCCAGAATGGCTTGATTGTTTTGGTCTAGTGTCCTTGTACCCACAAAAGCTATCGGCCTGAGAACAAGTTGTCATATGACTCTAGATTCTTAAAAATTGGGTTATGGCATTGATGAGTAAAAATGGTCATGAAAGGTAACTGTTTATGTCAAACTTGAGGGGGAAATGATTAGAAACGATAATTCTGTTCTCGTAGTTTATTAATGATGAATAAAAGACTAGCAAAAGGAAGTGAACATGTGTCTGAAAACAGAAACGATATGATCTATGTTTTGGAACAATATAAATGTATTCCTATTACTGAATTCTGCATCAATAAAGAAGCACTCTAGCTGCTAGTCAGTCAGGCTGCAAGATTATCCAGACCATGGTGGCCTGGCTCACTTCCTTCCTCACCAGCTTGCTGAGATCCAAGTCTCTGCTGGGCATGTGCTTCTTCTCTGTCCTCTCCTAAGATGAAACTAAGAAGTGTCCCTTGTCTGATTCCTCTTGTCATTGCTCTTGCATACACCCATCTTTAGTCCCTGCCCTCATCTGTAGCTGGACTCTGGCAGTAGAGGCTGAGTATCACCAAAGCTTTCAGTCATGAAGGGCAGTCTCGGCACCCTGCCTGTGTGGCTACCACCTGTGACACCTGAAGGTAACTTAGTGAGAAATCTAGGAGAGCTGCCAAGTGTGTAAGAAACTGATTTAGAACTGACTAATGCGCCTATGTTCTTTCTGTGTTCTTATTCCTCTGGAGATAGTCTTCTCAAAGATCCCTGAGAGACAAGCTCCAGAGAACTCTTCCTTCTGGGGAGCTCAAGGGTTGGACAGATGAACCAACATCCATCCTTGTATGTGCAAGATGCATGAGTCAGTGACAAGATGCAGGACCATGGATCTCTGATCTCACTCTCCCACATCCCAGCAGGGAGGCACCAAACTATCTGTAAAGAGGACACTGCAGGTGTTATGCAGTAGTGTATATGCTCCTAGGTTAGATCTTCAGCTCCTAAAGAAAGAAAGGAGATAAACTAAGGAGTGGAGAGTACAAAGCCCCAAGGCAAGCCACTGATGCCTCTACACACTGTGCCTTTTATAACCAGGCCCAATCCTCAGCCTTGCACATCTGCAAAGACCACATACACAAAGTCACACACGAACGAATGTCTGCACGTTCCCAGCAACCTTCTTGTACATAACCTTTAAAAAAAATCACACCCACGTGCTTGCATTTCCAGTGCTGACACAAGTTTGGGTGCCCCTTGCTGTTCCAAGGGACTTTGCATCGAGTTTCCAAAACACCTACATGCGTAGACCCATTCACAGACAAGAGGCTGTGACATCCCTGGAGTAGAGTCTCAAACAATATACAGGAAAAGAAGTAGGCAATATAAGCAGCCACTCAAAACTACAGTAATGTCTCAGCAATGAAAAACCAAGAAACATCTGGAGGAGGCTGTGTCTGGAATTGCCAAGCATGCCTTGAAAAATCTTCCTCTTGGCTTTTGATGCCCACAATAGCCCCATGGACTAAAGGCAAGGGTAGGGCAGGGAGAGGGGATGGGACCTGGTGTCCATAGGTGCCTAGGACTATATGTTATCTCAGCCTCCTGCAATGGGAGCTTATGCTCTCAGGCCAGATATGGGAGGGGTGACTCTGGCAACTTGGATTTGAACTCCAGCTTTGACGGTTTGTACTTCTGTGGACCTGTGTGATTTTGCCAGCCCTTCTGTGCCTCCGTTTCTTTGTGTGTTGAAGGTAGTAATAGCACTTATAAAGTCGATGTAGAAACACTCAAGAAGGACCGGGGCATCCTCCATCTCCTCACACTGCTCTCTACACAGCTACTAGCACAGAGGTTCCTCCTGCACAGTCTTTCCCCACCAGGATTTATAACCCTCTTTTCTCATTGTGGTTTTTACGATTGAGGATTTGATGGCGAGGTTGGAGTGTAGGATGCAGGGTCACAAGACCAGACACTCTCTCTCGATGGGGCTGCCCCCGAGTCTGTACTGGCAGCTCAGATCACCAATGTCTGGGTTAGAGACCGGGTTCAAGGGATGCTAGGAGGTCTCAGCCTCCTACCTTTCAAGGGGTTTGCAGAAAGATTCAAAGAGCACTCTTCTCCCTCCTCCTCCCTCTCTCATGCCCCTATGTAGCCACCCTAACTCTTTCCAAAGGAGGCTATTAATGCTCCGAAGTAATGCTCTCAACCTGTGGGTCGCAACCCCTCGACAACCCTCTATTTCCAAAAAAAAAAAAAAAAAAAAAAAAAAAAAAAAAAAAAGATGTAACAGTTAATAACATCGGCAAAATTACAGCTGTAAAGTAGCAACAAAGTAATTTTATGGTGTGTATGTGAGGGGGGAGTCACTGTAACATGAGGAACCATATTAAAGGGTCACAGCATTAGGAAGGTTTGAGAACCACTACTGTAAATAAATAAATAAATAATAAAAACAACATGCAAAGGACTCTATTCTCCAGCCTCATATTTGCACTCAGCTAAAAGCCTTTTCCTTCCATCTAAAGCAGTTCCCATCCTCTGGTGTCCCTCTGGCTTTCAGTGCGTTCCCAGGTGATCTGAGATCCTGAAGCTATTCTCATCCTGTTGCCCTGGGAGTTTCAGCACTCCTGGAACAACCTGTTCCTCGCTCCTCCCGCTCTTTCCCTCCTCCCCTCCCTGTCCATTTTTTTGTGGCTGTGCCCCAGCTTAACCCTCCAGAGAGACACTCTCTGACTCTGGCCCCAGAGGAGAAAAGGGAGGGGGAGGAGGAGAGGAGGGAGCCACAAAGGGCGGAGGCCGGGGAGCTCAGCCAGAGAGGGGCTGCCGAGTTTGCATCTGCTGCAAGGAGGCTTTTCTGCTGCCTGGTAACCAGCTGCCAGAACACTGAGAGAGAGAGAGAGGCTGGGAGTAGGGGCAGAGGCTTCTTGACGTCAGGACCAGACAAGGGGATCGGGCCAGCTACCCCAGCCAGTCTAGAGCCAGCTGGGCCCTGCGCTGGAGAGAAGCCCGAAGCAAGTGCGTGAGTGAGTTGGGGGTGTGGGAATCGGGTTGTCAGGGGCACAGCATGCCCTCTGCCCCTGGGCTATGGAGATCTCCCTGGTGCCTCTGGAGAACGGCAGTGCCATGACCCTCAGAGGAGGAGGGGAGGCAGGGGCAAGCTGTGTGCAGACCCCCAGGGGAGAGTGTGGGTGCCCTCCGACGGTTGGGCTCAGTAATCAGTCCAAAGAATCCTCATCGAGGGGGCGTGCCACGGAAGGTGATGAGGAACAGGAGGGGCTGCCTTTGCCCCCTCTGCCTCTGGAGCTACGGCAGCCTAGAGGACCATCTCCTGAGGATGAGGAGGAAGAAGGCGACCCTGGCCTGGGCACAGTGGAGGAGGATCAGACTCCACAGGGCGCAGGGTCGCTGCATCATCAGCGAGTCCTTATAAACATCTCCGGGCTGCGCTTCGAGACACAGTTGGGCACCTTGGCACAGTTTCCCAACACCCTCCTGGGGGACCCAGCCAAGCGCCTGCGCTACTTCGACCCCCTGAGAAATGAGTACTTCTTCGATCGCAACCGGCCCAGCTTCGATGGCATCCTCTACTACTACCAGTCAGGGGGTCGCCTCCGCAGGCCGGTCAATGTCTCCCTGGATGTGTTTGCAGACGAGATCCGTTTCTACCAGCTGGGGGACGAGGCCATGGAGCGCTTCCGGGAGGATGAGGGCTTCATCAAGGAAGAGGAGAAGCCCCTTCCCCGCAACGAATTCCAGCGCCAGGTGTGGCTAATCTTCGAATACCCAGAAAGCTCAGGGTCCGCAAGAGCCATTGCCATCGTGTCAGTTTTAGTCATTCTTATCTCTATCATCACCTTCTGCTTGGAAACTCTGCCTGAGTTCAGGGATGAACGGGAGCTGCTCCGCCACCCTCCAGTGCCGCCCCAGCCTCCAGTCCCAGCCCCAGGGACCAATGGCAGCGGAGCCGGCGCCCCTTCCTCTGGCCCCACAGTGGCGCCACTCCTGCCTAGGACCCTGGCTGACCCATTCTTTATCGTTGAGACTACATGCGTGATCTGGTTCACTTTTGAGTTGCTTGTGCGCTTCTTTGCCTGCCCTAGCAAGGCAGAGTTCTCTCGGAATATCATGAACATCATTGATATTGTGGCCATCTTTCCTTACTTTATCACCCTGGGCACCGAGCTGGCAGAGCAACAGCCAGGGGGCGGTAGTCAGAACGGGCAGCAGGCCATGTCGCTAGCCATCCTCAGGGTGATCCGCCTGGTCCGGGTGTTTCGCATCTTCAAGCTCTCCCGCCATTCCAAGGGGCTGCAGATCCTGGGTAAGACCTTGCAGGCATCCATGCGGGAGCTGGGGCTGCTCATCTTTTTCCTCTTCATTGGAGTCATCCTCTTCTCCAGCGCTGTCTACTTCGCAGAGGCGGACAACCAGGGGTCTCACTTCTCCAGTATCCCGGATGCCTTCTGGTGGGCAGTAGTCACCATGACCACCGTAGGCTATGGAGACATGAGGCCCATCACTGTGGGAGGCAAGATTGTGGGCTCACTGTGCGCTATCGCTGGGGTCCTCACCATCGCCCTGCCTGTGCCTGTCATTGTCTCCAATTTTAATTACTTCTATCATCGGGAGACAGACCATGAGGAGCAGGCTGCCCTGAAGGAGGAGCAAGGCAACCACAGGCGGGAATCTGGGCTGGACGCAGGGGGTCAGAGGAAGGTTAGCTGCAGCAAGGCCTCCTTCTGCAAGACTGGGGGTTCCCTGGAGAACTCTGACAGTATCAGAAGGGGTAGCTGCCCCCTAGAAAAGTGTCAGCTGAAGGCCAAGAGCAACGTGGACTTGCGAAGGTCGCTATATGCCCTCTGTCTGGACACTAGCCGGGAAACAGATTTGTGAAAAGAGACCCAGGAAGACTGGTGGTCCTCTTGAGCCCGGGGAATCTGTTTTATACCACAGAGTATTGTAAGCCCACCTGGTCACTGATGTCTGGATGCCCTCCCGCCTTTCTCCTATCCACCCTCCCCACTACCTTGCCCCACGTCCCCGTTTCCCCCTCCTCTTTGCAGAACACCAAGGGTCACCTATTTTTAAGAAGTATCACATTCCATGACGCAGGAGCTGTTGAAATGGTGGGTACTGTGAGATGGATGTATTCGTAGCCAGTTTTCTATACCCAGCAGAGGGATAACTCAAACAAAAATGACTTTAAATAGCTCCGATCCCAAGAGATTCCATAGCCCTCCCTATCCCTGTGTTCCAAATTTACTTTACATGCGATTATATTTGAGTATGAGGCAAACATTATTTTTATGGCTGATGAGTGCATTTTTGTACAGTGGTGCACATGAAGAATATTTGGGCGTGTTCTCAAGATATACTTTGAATTATAAAAGAGTTGGGGTCATCTTTTCCTAGGATACTTGGGGCCAGAGACCCTGAAAAAGATGTCCTGGTTCCTGTGCTTTGTGTTTAGGGCAGAGAATATTCTAGAAGAGCAACACATCTGTTATTGTTATTTTTTGTCCCCCCTTAAACATTTCTTGTGACTTTCTTCACAGAAGCATTTTAATGATGTTGAAAGGAGGCGTTTGAGAATTCACTCTTTTCATTTTGATACCAGGAAATAAAATGGGAATTCACTGGGGCAAGTGTCAGTTTCTCTACTGCTGCTGTGTGTTTTGACATGCTGAAGAGTGAAGTCTGCCATTTGCTGTCTGGTTTTAGAGTCAGTGCAAACGCTTGACAGGGCTAGAAAACCTAGGAGGCTTGGCATCGTCTTTTTGGTGGGTCCCTCTGAGCTCTGAAGGATGATGGATGGCTCGCTGTGTGTGATGTGGATATATTACATATCACAGTCAGCACAGACTGTAGAAATGGGATCAAAGAAAAGGGGCAGTGAGCCCCGCCCTGCAACTGTCCTGTTGTGGTGCCAGCTCTGAGCTTCTCAAGGTTGTCTCCTTCACCGTGAGTCCTAACTCTTCCTTGTTCTTGTTCTCAGTCACTCTGGAAAGCAAGCCTGATGCTCACTTATGTGTCTGTCTATTCAGAGGCGTATAGTTGGGTGAAGGTCACAGGGGAAAGCCACTGCCTGTTTTTCACTGCTCTGGAGCTTGGTCTGGCAAAGTTGTGAGCCATGCCTTCATGGCGGGGAATGTGGAAAGGTTTCCTTGTTTCAGCTAAAGGACAAACTGTGGGCTCGCCCCCATAATCCTTAAACTCAGAATGAATATCTTTGTTCCTCTTTCAACTGGATGGTTTGAGGCAACCCCTCAGCAGCAGGTTTTATTCCAGCTGCAACTTCTTTCTGGGTCCCTGAGCTGTCCTGGGTCCCCTTTTTCTGTCCAATGCAGGCTGGCTGTTTTACACCCTCACCGGGGAAGGCCGTTGGTCCAGCCATCCCTACTTCAAGATGGCACTGGGTTTAGTGGCTAATTCCAAGGCTGTGACTGGGCCTCTCTATTAGTATTTTAATATTCACTAAATCCAAATCTAAGAGGTATGGATTTAAATGAGACGGGATATAAAAAAACCACTGTCTGAAAACCCAGTTCATTTCTAGTCAAGAACTTTTCTAGCAGTGGCAGATCTGAGGGGAGACAGAAGGACCAGGAAGCCTGCCTCTATCGGTTTTCAGGGCACGCTAAAGCATAAGGGGGAGGAGCAAGAGGTCTGTCGGTTTTCAATTTGCAGTGTGCCTGAGCAGGGGACCCGCCAGAGCCCTGCACCACAGTGGCACCTCTGACAGCTCGGTGCTTTGAAAGCTAATGTTTGAGATTTGGCACTGGCCTGGGAATTGGATCTAGGAGGTAATCCCTAAAGGCCCCATCTTCCCAGCAAAACAAAACAGATACAACACAGATAGGCAGGATTAAGTGAGGCAGGCGGAGCTGCCCTCAGGATTTAGGCGAATCCAGGTGTTTGATGAAGTTTGGCCCCTTTATAAGTGTCCAGGGAAGGGGTGCAGTGTTCCACACGTGCTTAGGGACAGAGTGGAGCAAGTGATAACACAAGGCTGACTGTTGTGCCTGTGTGTGTGTGTGTGTGTGTGTGTGTGTGTGTGTGTGTGTGTGTGGTTACTGGGGGTACCCTGGCTCGGGTCTACAGAAGAGAAGATTGACTTCCCAGTCCTTTGTTCAGCCTCCTACTCTAGACAGCCACAGCAGGGGACCTGTTCTGGGCCACTAACAAGGCACTCACAGGGCTAAATGGTGGCTCAGTGCCCTCGCGTTGTCTGGGCAGGGGGCAGGGGTGTTGCACTGTTGCACTGATTCAGGAAATTGCTGCAGCCACCCAGCCCACCGCTGTGGTTCGCTTTGCGTCCAGTCACCAGGAAAGCCACCAGAGATCCAGACTACTTCTGGTCTGACCCTGTTGAGGTGCTTCTCCTGTCCCCCCCCCCCCCCCCCCCCCCGGTACCCTGGCTTTTCCACATCCTTCCTCTTGAAGAGCTGAAATCAAGTGGCTTCAGCCAGGTTTGCTTATCCAGATGTTTCTTCCTGGCCGCCACAGCAGGAAACCTGCCTCCTGCATTGGTAAGGTGTGCGCAGAGCAGAGCTGGGCGCTGTGCTTTGAGGGGTGGAGCGCTGCACCTCCTTCCCCCACCCCCTTCCCTTCCCCCTTGGTTTTCACCGTTTACAGGGTTCCTTTTCCTGCTGCTGCGGGTTTGATGCCAGGTAAAGAGAAGTATCTTTGACTCTCTTTAAAAATCCCCAGCTTCTTGGTTGGCCCAGCTGGAGCTGCTCCCTGGAGGGGGGTTCAAACAGTTCAAACTGCTGGCCCCTGGGGGAGTTCTCCGCAGAGTTTATATTGCATTATTCTACATGATGCAATGCTAGCTGGTTTGGGGTGGATGGAGCAGAATTTCTTTGGGGGAAGGGACGCATTGTTCAAGGTACCCTCCGGAAATGGCAGGTTTGTTTGCAGTTGAGTTTGGTCCTGGGTGAAGGTGAAATCTCCTTTTTCCTCCATTATGGGCCTACTCTCTTCCAATGTGGTATGGGACACAGGGAACAAATGTTGGCTCATCATCCCTTCTTCCTAAGGCTTCTGGACTCACAGGGAAAAGGGCCATTGACCACTGTAAAACAAAAGCAAGACAATGAGTGATCAAGTCCTTCGTAGGGACTACCAAACGGAGTGTCAAGGGTCAGGTGGAGTTGGGCCTAGGCCACTGGAGACAGCCTAGAGAGCTCCAAGAGGAATCCCAGGAACAGTCTAAAGGAGGCCACTGCGGTATGTCAGTCACTGCCCTTTCATGCAGTGTCTTGGTTTAGGATTCACAGCTCTGCTCTTAACACCAGTCACCCTGGTAGTCTACTGCAACAACAGAAATCACTCCTGCCTGGATGGCCCCTCAGAACCCCCTGGCACGGACAGGAGAGTCCAGTGAGGCTACTTTCATTTTTAAAGTGGACATGGCCTGGGTGACTGAGGCACTCAGGGGTCACCACACCCAGCTGTAATCCCCGATGAGTGTCTGCTCTGGCAGCTGACGTTTGCTGACACATCGCTTCCTCTACCCCACTCCTTGGTCATGCAGTTACTATTCACTGTTCCTGTGACTGTAGCAATGTCACCTCTGTTGTCCACATCTTCTGGGATGGAGTCAGCCCCTCCTGGTCTTCCTGCTTCTCTTTCACCTGTTCAGGCTGCCCTGCCTGTGATTTTCTGATTACTCTCTCTGGGGACAGGTCCTGCCATCACATCAGTCCAGGGCTCCCAAACTATCACTTTAGTCAGTGCCTGAGTCTGACTTTGAAACCCATCCAGATGTGATGCTGAATCAATCTTCCCCATGAAGCTGCCCTCAGTCTCTCTGGTCCAAAGCCGTTTTCCTTGTTTTATGTTTCTTTCACAAATGTGTTCTACCCACCTGTGGGTGGCTGGTGGCTTGCTTGCATCTCATTCACCCAAGCTCAAATGGCTTTAGTAGCAGATACGTACCCAAGCTGCTGCTTCTTCTTCTTCTTCTTCTTCTTCTTCTTCTTCTTCTTCTTCTTCTTCTTCTTCTTCTTCTTCTCCTTTTCCTTCTCCTTCTCCTTCTCCTTCTAATAGCATCTACTTCTTTGGACTCAGAATGCAACTTCCGGCTCTTGGATGACCCTTGTCCTGAACAAGTGATACCTGGCATCCAGGCAGCTGTGGAAGAATGGCATTCTTTCGCTGGTCATTTCCCTCTTCTCTGCCCTTGTACCAAGGATCAGTCCAGGTGGATGTAACATGTCTAGTGAACTGACATTTCTAGAGTCTTAAAGATGGCTCTAGAAACAAGGACTCTGGGTAGTACTATAGAGACCAAGTGGGAACTATGGGACAAGAACAAAAAAGAGAAATCTGAAAGACAGAGGTGACAAGCTAGAAAGTCAGCACCCTAATGACGGATAGAGTGACCAAGTCTGGTTTGCCGAGGACAGCCTAGGCATATGTGTTATAATGGCCACTCAAGAAGAGTTAGAAGTAATATGGTGGTGCCATTTTCTCCTTCCATTGTTATTGGCTGTATTTTTGGAACCCCGAGTCACTTGATTAATTTATGACAATAAAAGCAGTAGCAGTTCCTGGGGAGCCCAGATCAGCCAGCCCAGGCTGCCCCCCAGATTTCTGTTCTCCTATGTCAGCTGCTGTTCTGGATGCTGGGATTTCAGTATAAACAAAACCTTGGGGATCTTTCTGTGGCTTTATTACATCCCTAAACCCACAATCCAGCTCTCAGCTTAAGACTTCGTGACATATTAAGCAGTGAAAGAATGTAAAATTCAAAGTAAGGCTGTGCTAGTCAGCATAACTAAGAAGATCCCCAAAGTTCTGTTTCACTCACTGCCTTTATTTTTTGTGGAAATGTCAAATGTCCAAGTTATTTCAGAAATATGTTACTTTTTTTTTTTTTAAAGCGGGCATT